CCCACCTCCCTCCTTATCTCTCTCTTTTTCTAGAGATTAAAATATCCATGTCTAAATTTTTATAGTTTTACAGTTAATTATTTCTAATACACCTTTTGTGAAATATAAAAACTAAGCAACCAAAAAGGGAACAACCTGAAACTGAATACAGACAATGGACAGAGTAAATGGCAACAGAACTCTGACCCACAACCAAGTCAAACCACAACTCCTTGAGGCATCCACTCAGAATGGTCAGAGCTTTGTCAATAGCTGCAATACCCCAGTGTTTGTCCGACTTCCAACTCAGGACCAAATGTGTTCCTTAAACAAGAACAGAAGATATCTCATCTGCTTTCTGGTAGGGCTCCAGTTTTACATGGCAACGAATTGCAAACAGAACAGGCCTGAAGCTGCCATTTTTTTCTTCCCCACTGTAAAGCTGTATTAATGTACACCCCTGCCTGCCAAACACTAGTGTTCATGCCTGACATTTTGGCAACCATGGCAAGTTTGAAATAGTCTGTTCTCATTTTTGATGGTCTTTATTTCCACAACTCAAATGTACAATAGTGTAATAATTGGGACATAATATATTGTATTATGATACAGAAATGCAAATAAGCTGCAGCTACACACAATTTGGATTATACAAGCATTTCATTCAATTTACTCAAGTGTCACAAACCAAAAGCACCAAACAGATGCACACTCTCCTTTGCACATGGTCTTGGCATGGGAACTCCAATTCTTGGCCTTTGTCTCCTACAGAGCAATCAGAGGCACAGGTCTCAAGTCCTCTCGGGCTACTGATAAAAATGGTTCCCGGCCATGGCTTTCCTGGCTCCCTGGGATGCATCAGAGTCCAAGTTCCTCCAGGCTCTCATCTGTTTGCCCCAACCACTGTTCCTGCCCTCAGGTAACTAGATAGCTCAGCTTCCAACGGTTTTTAATACTGCCTGTTTCAAGCTGATCCAACCCAGAGAGGGTAAATCAAAGACAAACCTCTGACCTGAACCTCAATAAACAACTGGATCAAAATGCCTAAGACACATTCTGTGAAGGCAAGGTCCGCACTGCAGTCCTTGGCACCACCAAGCTGCACCAGAAACACAGGCTGCTGCCCTACAGGTACAAAGCTAGAAATAAAGGGGTGCAGGAAGGAAAACCCTCAAAACTCTTCTACTGTTGTTTAGTACTTTCTTCACTATGCACTCACCTAGTTCTTACCTTTTTTTTTTTTTTTTACTAGACTTCCAAAAAGCTACTTTTTCCTTTTTAAAATGTATTTAGTACGGGGTCTACAGGGTCTCACCATGTAGGCTGGACTTGTAATGACCTTCCTGTTTTCTGCCTCCCAAGTGCTGGGATTACAGGCATGTGCCACCATGCCGTCTCAATCGCCATCTCAGTGCACCTCAGGGGTGGAGCCGGCATGGCTTGTGGTGCCAGGGGTCGAATCCCAGTCCCTGAGTCTACCTAAGCAGGTGCTTTAGTCTGCAAAGCTATCTGATCGGCCCTAAAAAGTTAATTTGAATAGTTTTTTTCCTATTAAAAGGTGTTTCAGGGGAGCAGATTTGTGAAGCTCCAGGGCTGCCATTTTTTGGTGACAACATGCTTTATGTGACATTTTAAAATACAGTGATACCTTGAATGTCAAACACAATTTGATCTAAATTTATGTTTAAACACTGAAAAGTTCAATAACTACATATAATGGAAAACCAAATACAGTGGTATCTTGGTTTATGAACTTCATGCATTCTGTGACTGTGGAAAAGGTCACATTTGTGACTGTCACACAGTGCATGATTCACCAAAAAATAGAAGAAAAAAAAGCCAAATGCTTCTATGTGTGAACCAAATTGTTTGCAAACAGAAGTGGTCATGAACCACTGTAATTGTTTTGAGGTCCGACAATTAAAATTAACTAATAAATTAATTTTTTCAAGACTTTAACAATTTTTTTTTGGTACTGGGAATTGAACTCAGGACCTTATGCTTGCCAAGCAGGCACTTCTGCCACTCAGTTATATCTCTAGCAACTTTAACAAATTTTGCAACAATTTCCTTCTTTAACTCTATTGTGGTTCTTAAGTTTTCTTCTTAGCTTTATTGCTGGTATCACTCATTTTCTTTGGAGCCAGGGTTATGATATTTTACACAAACAAAGTGCAAAAAGAAAAAGCACAAGATGAATGTTTTCACACACTGACACAAGCTCTATATGTTGTCTGGGCAAGAACAGTGCAGGGATGAAGTGTCACTCATCTGCAGTGAGATGTGACCACGGTTTGCTCTCGGCCTATACAGGTGCTTTAGGTCAGATTTCTGGTTCCACTATTCTGCAAAGTTACAAATACCAAAGTTTTTTTTTGTTGTTGTTTTTGTTTTTTTTTTAACTTTGCTGTTCAAGTAATGAAAAGTTCCAGCTTGGAGCTTTAACCACCAAGGTATCACTAATGAAACTGTAGAAATAAAGAGTAAGTTAGTGGTTGGCAAGAGCTGAGGATGGATGCAGGAGGGAAGTGAATTTGTGGTTTATGAAAAGTAGTTAGAGGGATCCTCATGGTAGTGGAGCTCCTGGAGCTTGCTTTTGGCAGTAGACAGATGATTACAATTAATAACACTGTTCAGAACTAAGCACACATGGATTATAAAGCTGGAGAAACCTGCACAAAGTGGATGGACCGCATCAGCTTTAACTTCCTACTGATACACTATACTATACAAAATATTAACACTGGAGGAAGCTGAGCCAAGTGTGTAAAGGCTATCTACTACAACTCCATACAAATCTACTATTATCTCAACAAAAAATATGATGAGAAAAAGTAATTCAAAGTAGAGATGAAGGGAGCAGGGGAGATGGCTCAGTAGAATAAACACTTCGCTGGCAGGCGCAAGGGCCTGAGTTCTGCCAAAAACCAAAAACAACAACAACAACAACAAACAGAGTAGAGATAAAGATGTTTCAGGAATATCTATTGTTACACTTTTTTTTGTGGTACCAGGGATTGATTGAACTCAGCACCCTGAGCGCTTATTCTACTGAGCTATCTCCCCTGCCCTATTATAATTTCCTTTTAAATATCCAAGTTTGATGGAAAAAAATGTTACATTTAAATAAATCTAAAATAGCTTTTAATAATTACATTTCTAATAAAAAAAGCACCATATTATAGCATAACTCATTGATTTTTCCTTTTTTCTTCATTTCTGGCTTTTTTAGACAAGGTCTTGTTATGTCATCTAGGCTAGTCTTGAACATGCAATCTTCTTGCTCTGGCCTCCCAAGTGCAGGATTGCAAATACACACCACCATTAGCTAGCTTGTGATTTTTTCTTTTTAAGCTGTGCATGAAATAGCACATCTTAAAATCAATAGCAACTTAGATCTAAGGATAAGAGTACAAACTTCAGAATGAGGAGCTGGACTTACAAGTCTGTTCTGGCTCATGATGCCTGCCTACTTAGGCATCAATCATCAAGGCTGTGGCTCAACACTGACAATATTTCATAGTGCAACAGGATAGACTGAGTCAGGAAGCATAATATTCATGTTTCTGTTTACCATATATACAGGACAATAAAAATTCAGGAACAATGGGAAAAGAATGTATAAAACTAACAGAAATGGAAGAGATTATAAAATGTTTTTTAACACAAATACGTCAGGGGCTGGGGAGATGGCTCAATAGAATAAGTTTACCCTGGCAAGAGCAAAGGCCTGAGTTCATTCCCTGGTTCTGGCAGGAAAAAAAAAAAAAAAGAATACAAATATGTCGATATTTCAAAATATTCAAACTCTTGCCAAATAATATATATATCTCAGGAGGCTGGCAAGATAGCTCAGTGGTCTAAAGTGCCAGCTTAGGCAAGCTTGGGCAGACACAGAGGACCATGGTTCGATCCCTGGCACCACACACTTTGCCAGCCCTGCCCTCAGGGCAGGATGAGCCAGCCAAAAGAATAAAATAAAAAATACATATAGCTTAAAATGTTATGTAATTCTGTTAGTCTCTGATTAAAACTTCCAAAGAATAAATTGTCAGTGAAAACTCAAACTTTAGTAAATTTATGTCTGACCTTGTTTACTTACAGATATCAAGATGGTCATTGCTGGGCTGGTGAGACGGCTCAGTGGTCTAAAGCACCTACTTAGAACAAGCTAAGCCAAGCAAAACACAGGGACCGCGGTTCAATCCCCCAGCACCACATGCCAGCCAGCCCCGCCCCCTGGTGGGCTGAGCTGGCCACACACACACACAATAAAAATAAATAAATAGATAAAAAAAATTTAAAAAAAGAGATGGTCATAGCTAATATAAAGCCTTTATAGAATATAATTTATGCCCAATATTGATTTAACTCAACATATTACAGAGAACCCATTATCAAGTTACAGAAAAAGCTTCACTGAAATTCATCTTTAAAGTTTTAATATTTAAATATGGGGCCAGGGAGATAGCTCAGTAGAATCAGCTCTTGCCTAGCAAGCACAAGGTCCTGAGTTCAATCCCTGGTACACCAAAAAAACAAAAAACAAAAAACAAAAACAAAAAAAAAAACCAACGCTTAAATATATGTGGAATGGTTCCTAAATGAAACATAAAGCTATTCTTTGCTAATAGTACAAATTCTGTCCTATAGCCATTACTGTCTCCAAGTTTTTTCCTTGACATAAAACTGAAAGAAAAACTTAAGGATATCAAAACTCATAGATTACTTTGTGTATTTGCTATTCTTTTAACAAATTCCTTAATAATTAAGTAGTACATTAAGGCCATAAATCATCTCATCTCACAAGATTATTACTGTTCAAATATTTAGAAAATTATTTTTTGTTGTATCTAATAAAGCTGAGGCTAACACTAATTTTTTTCCTCTATTATGTTTTAAGTTTTTTATTGGGACAGAATTTGGGGACTGGGGATTGGAGTTGGATAGGGCTCAATATATTTACATTTTATCAAACAGATTCTTGACGAAAACGCTGATGCATATAATTTTACAGCATACACATCCCCTGGCACCACCAGGTAAACTGACAAGTAAAAATAAACTAGAGTTTTAACATACCTCAATGACCAGCAAGTTGCAAATATAATGTAGCAAACAAAATATTTAACTGTCCTCTTATTAAACGCTGAAAAAGCATATTCAGTCTTCACTGTCTGAGCAAATCAGTTTTAGTTTCTTCATGGTCCTCCACCTGTCTTTTAACATGACACTTGTTCGGTTGTTGAATTTGTAATGTAACAGGATTTTAGTCCAATTTCCCTCTCCATATTTCCTCACACCGGACTTCAAGTTCTTGTCTTCTTCCCAAAGCCATGGCTTTTGATAAAAAGTAGAATAATTACTCTCATGAACATTTCTTTGAAAAGAACACATGTGATGTAATACAACTTTTTAAAAAATTGAAATAATTTCTTAAAGATGGAAGAATCTCTTAATAGTTTTTAGGTTTTATAAGACTTTATCATTTAACTATCTAAGGGTAATTATTGTTCATTGTACGTAAGCTCAACTGCTCCAGGTTGAATCTAGAAAGTGACAGAGCTCCTGCCACCCAATCTGTTGAGCTTTATGCTCAGACTGCTTGGCTATCTCCCTTTCTCCAGCTCTAGAGATTGAACACAGGACCTCCACACTAACCTACATGTTTCACTCCTTTTTATTTTTTAGATAGGTTTTGAGTTAACCAGGCTGGGCTCATATTTGCCAATTTTCTGCCTTAGTTACTGAGTTTGAGACTACAAATTCACCACACCCAACTTCATACTTCCTTTTTATCCTTTCATATAATTCTTAGTAGATTCCTTCATAATTCTAAATAGAATTATAAATGTTTAGTATTTCTTTAATGACCTCTGAAAATCCTGTTCTGCTTGGGCTGGGGAAAGTACGCACAAGGATATAAAACTCAACTTCTCCAAAATGGATTTTCATGGCCGGGGAGATGGCTCAGTGGAGTAAGTGCTTTCCAGGCAAGCACAAGGGCCTGAGTTCAATTCCCGGTTCCGCAAATAAATAAATAAATAAAAATAAAACAAAATGGATTTTCAAAAACTCAACTAGCATAAATTTAAGACATATGTTTTATATTGGAAGCAATAACTGCAATTAAAAAAATAATCCACACATGACAAAACTACATGCCTCTGACATTTGCTATAGGTGACCAACTCTTGAGATTTGATCATATAACTGATTATCTACTATGCCTACATTATAAGAAATGCCCCAGCAGACTTTCACATTTTTAAAGAAAATATAGCTTTAGGGGCCAGGGAGATGGCTCAGTGGAATAAGTGCTTCCCTGGCAAGCGCAAGGGCCTGAGTTCAATCCTCAGTTCTGAAAAAAAAAAAAAAAAAGGCCCCTAGAAAATATAGCTTTATCATCTAACACTTTTTTTTTTTTTTTTTTTAAAAGCAGCTCCATAATCTCAGCACTTGGGAGACTGAGCAAGGAACACTGAGTTTGAAGCCAGTCCCAGCTACACAGTGTTGTTGGTCTCATGCAGTCATAGGGCAGGATTCTACAGTTTGTGATTAATTCATAAGCCAATGCTGGGATTATGGGTGCAAGTGTTACACCAGACCTGGGGCAGACAGCCTGAAGGCAATATAGGGGAGTGAAAGAGGCCGGCTTTCTGCTGCTTCTCCCTTTTTGCTTTTGCTGTTTTCTGCTGCCATGAACTGCTGCCCTCTGCCATATGCCTCCCTGCCTTGGAACCAGGTATTATGGACTGAAACTTCTACAATGTGTGAGCTAAATAAACCTTTTCTTTCTTAATTTTGTATGTTGGATGTTTTGTCATAGCAACCTGAGAAAAATAAACAAAACAGAGTGAGACATAGTCTCAAAAAGCCAAACCAGAACAACCAAATTGGTGAGGATGGAGAAAATGAAACCCATAGGCACTGTCAGTGGGACTGCAAAATGATACAATCACTATGAAAAATATGGCAGCTGCCCCAAACAAATAAAACTACTATACAATCCAGCAATCCACTTTGGGGCATGCAACTGAAAGAATTCAAAGGAAGCATTCTAAAAGGTATTTGTCAAATATGTTCATGACTGCATTGTTCACAATAGCTACAAAGTGTAAACAAGGGTCCATTACTACATGAATGTGGAGCCAGCTCTGTCTGCTTCTACATAAAAGGTTTGGGCTACACTCTAGTTTTTTTTAATGTGGTACCAGGGATTGAACTCAGGACCTTTCCACTGAGCTATCTCCCCAGCCCCTACTGCATGAATGAAAGAAACAAGATATAGTATACAGATATAGTAAAATATTATTTATCATTAAAAAGGAAATTCTGGTACATGCTACACCAGATTATTTTGAGGACATTTTGCTAAGTGAAAGAATTTAGACACAAAGGCAAAATACTACATAATTTTGCTGATATGAGGTACTTAGAATAGTCACATTTAGTTAGGAAGTACAGTGAAGGCCAAAATGTAGCTCAGTGGTAGAGCATTTGCCTAACATGTAAGGCCATGAATTCAATTCCTAGCACTGTTTAAAAAAAAAAAAAAAAA